ATCTCATAAAATCTCCACATACACTCTAGCTTACAAGAGCATGATTTATTTCTAAATCTATATCAATCTCGAAATGGCTAGCCTTCTAACTCGTCACTCCCCTTGATTTCCCCGTCCTTAGTTTCGCTTCCTGAAATGGTGGACAAGGAAAACTATGAGATAAAATATCTCAGTAAGTAAATATAGATAGCCCTTGGTAAAAGTTTAAGCATGCCAGATAAACCATGTAAGCATAACAAAGCTTTCAATGATAACTCGTTAAAACAAAATCAGATTCAGTTCAATAGCAAAACGTTCAGTGACAAAACCGTTAATGCAAAATCTAGTTCGATTCAATAACAAAGTGTTTCATGACAAACCGTTCATGCAGAATAAAACTCAGTTCAGTAGTCTCATCTATAAGTCATGGTCAGTGTTTAACACACTCCCACTAGCAGGCGTCAGTAATAGTACCAGTGTTTCACAAACTCCCACTGGCAGGTGTCAATAATAGTACCAGTGTTTACAAACTCCCACTGGCAGGCGTCAGTAATTACCAATGTTTAACCCCATTGGCAAGGTTCCAGAAGTACCAGTGTTTACAAACTCCCACTGGCAGGCGTCAGTAATGGTACCAGTGTTTCACAAACTCCCACTGGTAAGCATTAGTAATATTACCAATGTTTAACCCCATTGGCAAGGTGAACCGGTTCTACAGAAATACATGTCGACATGTCCTAGCGTTTACAGCTCCCACTAGTGGGCGTTAGTAATCATGACTATATCCGAGACAAAACCATGCAGAATTTACAGAAAAACCCGAAATTCACAATCAATCTCCAATTTCAGAAATAACCGAAAAATTTCCATGTGAGCATGGATTTAACAGAAAACTCGGAATTTGCAAACTCTCAATTTATCAAAACAGTTCAGTCAATTTCCAAATAGGCATGCTCTACTCAATGCAATGAAAACAATTTCATTCCAATCGTGCTCAATTCCAGAAAACAATGAAATTCCCATTTTCATTCCAATCATGCTCAATTCCAGAAAAACAATGAAATTCTCATAAAAACCATCACAATTTCCATTTTAGTTTAATCACATTCAGAGGCTGATAAAATCAATTTAAAATCAATTTAAACCTTGCCACCATCTCAAAAACAATTTAAAACATGCTTTAAAATCGAAGGGTTTTACCATAATTTACTTACCTTACTCGCACAGAAAGAAGGCTAACCCAAGTGCTACGGTGACAGAACGATCAAAACCTAATCAAAACACCTCAGAATTAATACCGAGCTATCACAAATTCAAACTGAAATCATCATTAAAATCACTCCCAATCCCGATGCTATTCCTATCAATCTCCACATGATCAAATATTTCCAAATTCGTTCTTATATCACAACTAATCATTTAAATCCCCATTAATCGTTGACCCTCGGTGTGTAAACAGTACTCGTGAACAGTGCCTATGAACAGTACCTTAAACAGTAACTTCAACTTCGAAAATTGGCAAAACATAGCTAATTCACGCGGTTTCTCTCCAAAATCACAACAACCCAACTCCAAGCTAATTTACACTTAAACCACACTTAAAAACATAGCTTAAAGCTACCAAATTTCCCCATTTCTCACGGCAGCACAGGGAGAGCATAACTTTGGCAAATCACAACTCACACACACGGGATTTCTCACACAAATCATCACAGCAGCTAATTCAAGCTAAATTCTACATAAGCAAGCTTAAAACACATTTGAAATGCTACTAATGCTACCGGAATTCCTCCCCATTTCCGGCACAATTTGGACACACACAAGGCAGCAATTAAATGGCTAATTTAGGGCTTAAAGAAGTGGCCATCATACCAGAATTTTCCAGAAAGAACCGGAGCTAGCAGGGGGAGAAGAAGCCGGCGGCAAGCTGCAGGGAGGGCTCACGGGCTACCTCAAAATTGAGGGAAATAAAAGCAATTAAGGTAAACCCAGCCTAAATCAACCTAAAAGATGAGGTTTATGGCTGTGGCTTACCTGAAAAGTGCCCAGAAATCCAAACCCACATAGCAGCCGGCGAACAAGGAGAAGAGCAGAGCAGATCTGGAATTTCCAGCAGAGGGGGGGGGGATTCCTGGGTTCAAGAACAAGAAAAGGAGGAGAAAATCCCAAGTTCTACCGGTGTTCCCGGTCGGAAAAAGGGGTGGCGGTAGCTGGGGGCTTCTCGGGTTGCAGGGGTCGGGAGGAGAAGAAGAGCAAGGCACGCGGGTCTGATAGGGAAGGAAAGAAAGAAAGAAAAAA